AGAGGAAAAATTAAGAGGAATGTGAGAGGTGCTTAAAGGGAGAAGTGAGCCGATAAGAGATTTTCGTTCACAACAGATTCGCACTGGGAAACAGAGAAATCAAAACTGCTAGGAAAAAGGACTTAGGGAAAGAGGAGAGGACGCAAAGGGTCAAGGTACAGGGCCTCTATTTTAACTCTGGCCAAAACAACGATAGAATAAAGAACAGTGTGGAGGAATAGGAAAAAATCTATAGCCAACTATAGTACTATTGGTAGAAAAAACTTGCAGGATGTAAAAAGACCTAAAATTATGTACTTAGACACCCTGAAACAAAGGACATATACAAGAACTTGAAGCAGTCGTTGAGATCAAATCAATGGAGCAACAAGTAGAAATAATTGAGAAAGAAACCCATTCTAAGCAGATCATACAAAAATAAGGATAAAATATATAGCCAGTCAGTCGTCCGTAAACAACAGGCACTACAATTTAAGGAAGATTTTACCGAAGTTGGAGGGAATCTCATAAGGTGGTGTTGAGATAGGAAGTTGATGTCCGAGTGGATCGAGGTCACGATAGCTCAAGTGGTAGAGCAGCAGCGTATCTAGCCGAAGATCGTGGGTTCGAATCCCGCTCGTGCCATTAACTTTTTTTTCATCTCAACTATAAACCTTAATTAATTATAATGATTTAATTGGTCAAGAGGACCACGAAATTAGTGAATTTTTATATAAGTCTTGATTAAAAATGACAAAAAGAGGGAAAATTCGAAAGGTTTTTGGTTGAGATGGGGAGTTGTCCGAGTGGATCAAAGTCACGACAGCTCGAGTGGTTAGAACAGCGGCGTATTGAGCCGAGCGTCAAGGGTTCGAATCCCACTCGTGACACTGACTTTTTTATCCCAACGAATACTTTGCATAAAGATTAATTAATTGAAAAAAGTTATTCGGTCAATCGGACCACGAACTCTAACGAATATATTTACAATGATAATAATAAAACATAAATACACATAAGCTTGAACAATGATAAAGTTAAATTATACCACAAATTCTCGCACCGTATACAACGCAATATTTCGGCGTCCTATCGACCATTTTATTACCGCTCGTTTGAAAACACTAACTTTTTCATCTCAAACAAGACCTTATCTCTAGTATTTAGAATTTAACTAAAACAACATATAAAAACGTTTTTTTTAATCTTAAGCAATTGCATAATCAATACATTAAAAAACTATAAAATATAGATCTAAATTTCAGATATGGAAAAACACTGTAAATATCCAATTAATTATTCCTTTTGTCTAAGGTTTTTGGCTGAGATGAAAAACCACAGATAAAAAGAATAATTAATATGGTCAATTATGAAGCCTTAAACTTTCGAGGTTATCCCAAAAATGGGATCAGCCTAAGACCCTGATGTTATGCAGTACGTTTGTACTATGCGAGCGATATGCGGACGGGCATTGTCGTGCATTAGAATAGAGCAGCGGCGTATCTAGCCGAAGATCGTGGGTTCGAATCCCGCTCGTGCCATTGATTTTTTTTAATCTCAACTAAAAACCTTAATTAATTGTAAATTTTAACAAAGGCTGATTTGGTGGCGAGTAAGAAAGAAAAGCAGGTTGATTATCTGGACAAAAAGGTGCAGGTAATTGTTTTTTCTGATAAGGGCACATATTGAGTTTTCATGTAATAGCAGCAAAGCAAGGAGCAGATTGAGACAGCTATCAACCATTAAGCCATAAACACACTTACCCGATGCTACGCCATGCGACGCTACCCGATGCTACCTAACGCAAATCCAAACTCCGATATTCCATAAGGTTGCATTACCCCCGTGCACATCTACCCGATGCTATGCCACGCTAACCTACCCGATGCTATGCGATCCCCACTGTCCAGATTTTCGTTGGGTCGCAACGAGTACAGTCGAAGACAAAAGAACCGGATACTCATATTTTTATTCAAACGACATGTATTATTGTCGTTATATTAATTACAACATACTTATTTTAATATAAACCAAATTAACTGTGATTAAAAATTAATTAGTTTTTATTTAAAAAATTAATTTTAATGGCTTGGTAGAAAATTAATCAAAACACCGGAATACGATTTTTTGATATAATGAATTTAACTAACAATTTATTGTACTCGCTTCGGCGGTACATATACTAAAATTGGAACAATTTATTACACGGTTTTGCTCATAAAATTTAATTAACAATTTATTTCATAGTTTTGCTCGTAAAATTACACCATTTTGTAATGTCGGGTAGCATCAGAACAGGACACTCATATTTTTTGTAGTTTATTTCAAACTAAGTACATGTAATTTTGTCGTTATATTAATTACAACATGTTATTTTAATGTAAACCAAATTAAACGAGATCAAAAATGCATAAGTTTTTATAAACATTGTTTAATTAGATGGTTAGGAGTAACTTTATTTAAAACAATTAAGTTTAACAAAGAATTTATTAGATGGTTGTGCTCATAAAATTTAACTAACAATTTATTAAAAGGTTTTGCTCAAAATAGTGCATTAAGAACAAAAGCGTTGCGATTGTGATAGTGATTATTGTGATAAACGCTGTGGACTGTACGAGACGTGTACTTGCGTCGGATAGATGTGCACACCCCACCAAAACGTGGCAAGGCGTCGGGTAGCATCGGTAGCGTCGCATAGCGTAGCATCGGGTGTGTTCCTGGCTTAAGGCACTCGCAGACGGACACTGCTGTGATGATGGCCGAAAAATTGTCACGTTAGACGATGCGATTAACAGTGTCTGTAATTTGTTCGAGCGTGAATTTTTAAAGAAACGCTACAGCTCAGGCTGGCACACACGGTAAGCTTTGGTACAGCTTGGATCATTATCATGATAATCCATGTCTCACGTCATGGCCTCACTGACGTTAATAAACCCGCTTAAGTTGTTTGTCTTTTTTGGCACTTCTTAGAAGCAGGGTTCAACCTTTGACTCTTTTCAAAGAGTACAAGAAAAAATAAGTTTAGCAGATTTATTGAGATGGCATTGTAGACCAAATAACACAGAATGTTTTGAAGAGAATACTGCAGAAGAAAGCCCAAGGCACAGTGCGAGGACATATAACATCTATAATCATAATGCAGATATTTGAACCTTTGGTCACAACCCTGATGTTTTACTAGGAACGAGCGTTTATTGAAAGTTAAACACAAAAGGTTAAAATAAAGTCAGTATTTTGAACGTCTTGATCTTATACACTATTCGAGAATCTTTATTATACTTATGGTGTTCGTCTACTCGTGTTACAAACTTTGCTAGTAGATCATACATTCAAAATGGAAGAAAAAAGTTCTAATAAACTATGGTCCGAATCTCAACAGTTGCGGAGTTATTCAATTTTTATGATTTTTTAAGATTTCACAATCTTACTTCAAATAAACAATGATAACTCCAAAACTAAAATGTTTTGGAAAAATCCGTTGAGACCATTGAAAATTACGTTAAAATTCCAATAACATGTGATCAATACTAAACTTGTTAACGTTCGTAAAATAAGCGTTTTGATAGCGAAACTTAAAAAAAAATTTTTTTTTTCAAAGTTGAAAAACTTACTATGGTAAACTTTAAACTTCCAAACCTAGAGACCAGCAAACATCATTTAATACCTTTCAGTGGTGCAATTGTTTTTTTAATTACTTTTCCAAAGGTGAAGAAATTAACGAAGGAAAGGAAAAACATGGTTGAAGGATTGTTAAGGTGAAAAGATTAATAATAAAAAAAATAAAAAACTTAAGGAAATTTTGAATGAATTTATTTTCGACGCGCTGCCGTCGCATTACCGCAAAACCCTACGTAAGATGCATATCAGCGTAGTCTTCATTAGAAAAAGTAGCCATAGGTTAACAAGATATCACCTAACTTTTTTATTCTGGAGAATAATAATACAACAATCCTTCGATAAAAGTTGCAATCGTATTTGTAAATAAGTAGACACAGTATTTCGGTTTCTAACCCAAATTTTAAAAAAGTTTAATAATTTCATTCAAAATTAACTTAAGTTTTTCCTTCAACCATGGGTTTTTATTTTCCTTCACCAATTTCTTCTTCATTGAAAAAAGTAATTAAAAAACTATTGCACCACTAAAAAGGATATTAAATGGAGTACTTTTTCTAAAATTTGCTGGTCTCTAGGTTTGGAAATAGTAGTTTAGAATTGCCATAGTAAAAGTTTTTCAACTTTGAAAAAAAAAATTCAAAGTTTTTGCTATTAAAACGCTTATTTCATTAAGTTTACAAGTTTAATATTGATCACATCTTATTGGAAATTTAATATAGTTTTCAATGGTATTAACCGATTTGTCCAAAACCTTTTAGTTTTGGAGTTATCATTGTTTATTTGAAGCAAGGTAGTGAAATCTTAAAATATCAGAAAAAGGGGAATATCTCCAAAACGTTTGAGATTCGAACCATCGTCAGTTAGGACTTTTTGATTCGATTTTGAATGTAGAATTTACTGGTAAAGTTTGTAACACGAATAGCCGAACATCCTGTATAATGGCCAAATGTGTTGTAATTCTTATGCGTGAAAAATAAAACGCCTTAACAGTCGACGATGCAATTCCGCAATGCACGAGGTCATTGTTGGTTTATGAAAGTAGGTTCAAAACAAAAAATAAAATCATAAACGGATGAAAATCCTGCTTGACTATTTCCCGAATTATATTTTTTAGAATATAAAGATAATTACCTTCTTATCAATGAGTTTTTTTATAATTTCATCGTTACAACCTATTTTTTAAATAAATATTTAGAGAAAATGGCCATATTATGGATTCTCTCAAATGTTTTCATATAGTTGTTTGTTTATGATCATTTAAATGATTGATCATTTTTTTTTATTAACATCAATCCTAGTCAGTCAATTTTAGCTGTTTTGTCGCATTCCATCATCCTACATGCTATAAGAAGTAACGCCACACTTTTTTAAATTCTTGCCACCGGGTGAAACAGATAAATAAAATATAATTTTTTTTAAACTTAGTTTAATTTTTCACTTAGAAAACAAGACCCTGATGGGCGGGTGGGAAAAACGGAGCGACCCCGGTTCCAAGGGGATGGACCGGCGCTGGAAACGGTGCAGCGGCGTACGACAACGGCGCCGGTGCCAGGTAAGCTGCCAATGGTGCAGCAGGGACCAAAGGTGCCACCACGCCGTTGTGGTTCCTCGTCACCACCTGGCTGCTATGCGCTGTTACGAAAGGTGCAGCTGGGGCTGCATGCAGCAGAGGCGCTGGTGCCACAAGCCCAGGTGCTGCTGATGCAACGGCAGCCAAAACGGCAACTAAAACCTAAAAAAGTACAATTTTTTAAAATTTATAATTAAAATTGACGTTGTAAAACAAATCTAAACATCCTAAGAAGTATGTTCGTCTTTATCCATATGATTTTTTTTAACAAAACGCTTTTCCTCTTGTACTGTTTTGTTTTAATTGCGCATAATTACACATATACTTAAAATATAATTTTATAATGTCCGGAATTATTTGGAGTAAATTTTGCGTGGACTTTAGCCTTGAGTTGGTGGGATGTTATGTACATCATCCACCGTCAGACCTTTTGATGATTTTTTGTTAGTAAAGGACGTTGAACTTACCATTTGGGTATACATGTCCGAGTGTGATGTGTGTTTGCCTTCTGCGCTGGTTTTTATAGAGCTTAAAGAGGCAGCCGGTGGCAGGCCAGCGATCGTGATGGCAATACAAACACAATGGAGTGAACAATAATACGGTCATAGCATAAATTATACGGCTTTCTTCGAAATCCGTTATACAATCTTCCGGGCTGCGGTAATTTTTCATCTGGTGAGCCCTTAATGCGGTTCACCCTCGGCAGGACTTTGACCCTGTGGAAATATCCCAAATACAAATTCGGATGGGCTGCGAGGGTGAATAAGGGTTGAGTCGTGTATCTTTACCTATGCCTCGGCCCTAACTGGTTTAATTGTCGGAATTCTCGTAACGTTCGAATAAATAACCACGAATTCAGAAATATACGTAAGTACTTTAACCTTAAATTATTCGTTTTGTTTAATTAAAGAAAGGGGTAAACTGCTAGAAAGATTATTAAACAAAGATTTGTTATGAAATTTGCCAACCACTATCGGTAATTTTTTTTACAAATTTTAAATTTAGCAGTCTTGAAAACTTTTAGTCTTTATTTTTTTAACCAAAAATTAAACGGAAATTTCTAAAAATATGCCTTTTTAAAGGAAATTTAACGTTCTTTTCAATGCTGTTTGGATTAAAATAAAATGAATAATTCAAAAGGTACGTGTATATTTACGAAGGAAACCGCAGATTTTTGGAAATAACCCATAAAATTTTGAATATCTGCGAAAGGGATGAGAATAGGACCATGGATCATACGAACTACACTATCCCACACTCAAAAAAAGAAGTTTTTAGACGAAAAAAGGGCCAGATTTTGAATCGAACAGTTTATCAGTCTTTTAGGTCACTCCCCTGCATCAGGACTCGTTTTTAAAAATTTTTAATAGGTTGCAAATGTAGTTTTCTTCAAATTTTAAATTTAGCAGTCTTGGAAACAATTAGGGTTTATTTTTTTATAACCAAAAATTAAACGGAAAGTTCTAAAAAAGTGCCTTCTGAAAGAAAATTTGACGCTTTTTTCAATGGTGTTTTTGAATTAAAAAAATGAATAATTCAAAAGGTACATGTATATTTACGAAGGAAACCGTGGATTGTTGGAAAAAACATAAAATGTTGAATATCTGCGAAATCGTTGAGAATAATCCATGGATCGTACGAACTACACTACCCCACAAAAAAAAAGAAGATTTTAGACGAAAAAAGGGCCACATTTTGAATCGCACAGTTTCTCAGTCTTTTAAGTCACACACCTGGGCCAGGACTCGTTTTTTTAATTTTCACAAGGTTGCAACTTTAGTTTTTTACTACTTTTAAATTTAGCAGTTTTGGAAACAATTAGGTTTTATTTTTTTATAACCAAAATTAAACGGAAAGTTCTAAAAAATGTGCCTTTTTATAGGAAATTTAACGCTCTTTTCAATGCTGTTTTTGGATTTTTTAAAAAATGACTAATTCAAGTGATACAAGTATATTTACGAAGGAAACTGTAGATTGGGAAAAAAACCCATTAAATTTCGAATATCTGCGAAAGAGTTGAGAATAGGACCATGGATCATACGAACTACACCATCCCACAAAAAAAAAACTTTACACGAAAAGGGGCCCAAATTTGGAATCGCGTATTTTCTCAGTCTTTTAAGTCACAGACCTGTATCAGGACTCATTTTTTAGAAAACTTTACGCTGAACAAGATGTCTTTTTTAAATGTTTATTCATATAAGTAAATCCAGAAATTCTGGAACATGTCAATTTTCGGACTTTTTACGAAAATTGAGGTGTGCAGCCAGAAAATCGTCCTAGAGCGACGCATTTTATGAATCGATAGGAAATTTTTTACAAATTTTAAATTTAACTCTTGAAAACATGTAGAGTTTATTTGTTTTAACTAAAAATTAAACGGAAAGTTCTAAAAATGTGTCTTTTTAAAGGAAATTTAACATTCTTTTCAATGCTGATTTTGGATTTTCTTAAAATGAATAATTCAAGAGATACGAGTATATTTACGACTAAAACCGTAAATTATTGGAAAAACTCATAAAATTTTGAATATCTTTGAAAGGGTTGAGAATAGGACCATGGATCATACGAACTACACCATCCCACAAAAATAAAACTTTTTACACTAAAAGGGGGCCAAATTTGGAATCGCGTTTTTTCTCAGTCTTTTAAGTCACCGATCTGCTCTAAGTTTATTTTTTATAAGATTTTACGCTGAATATGATGGCTTTTTCAAACATTTTCTTAGCTTCATTCATCAGCTTATATTCATCAGTAAATTCAAAAATTCTGGAACAGAGCAATTTTTGGACTTTTAACGAAAATTTCAAATTGCGCTGTAGAGCCAGGAAATCGTCCTAGAGCGACAAATTTAGGAATCGATAGGAAATTTTGATAAGATTTCAATTGGTCCATTTTGCCCGATTTCTCCACTGTTTTCGAGTTATCGCGATTTTTGAGCAAAAAACGTGGTTTTTACATGCTCGAGGAAAAAAACCAATCATACTTTTTCCAGATTTTCAAGATTGCATAAATTTTGAACCGTCATGTTTTCGCACATTTTACGCTCTACAATTGTTCCTAGGACTTTTTCGAAAAAATGACCAGGAAAGTAAAAAAAAATTTCACGTTTTCTTACTTTGACCTTTTGGAATGCGGAATGCTTCTGCTGTCGATAATCACTTGACTACCTCATCACGGAAATTCAACTTTTCCTTTCCTTTCACAAGTGTTTCATGGCAGTTTGGCGTCGAATAACGTATTGAAGCAATAGGTTTATATCGGGAAAGAGAATGATCGGTTTTTTTTCCATGAACACGTAAAAACCACGTTTTTGCCCATAAATCGCGAATAACTCGAAAACGGTGGAGAAATCGGGCAAAATGGACCAACTGAAAACTTATTGAAATTTCCTATCGACTGCTAATATGCAGCTGTACGACGATTTTCTGGCTTCACAGGGCAATTTTAAATTTTCGTTAAAAGTCCAAAAATTTACCTGTCTCAGAATTTTTGAATTTATTGATGAATGACTGAAGCTAGGAACATGTTGAACAATTTGAAAAAGCCATCTTATTTAGCGTACAATCTTCTAAAAAATGAGACCTAGCGCAGGTCGGTGATTAAAAAAGGCTGAGAAAATATGCGTTTCCAAATTTTTTTTAAGACATGTATTTGTTGCATTTGAGGTGTCGAAGCACCTGACGAAGTTTGCCGTACGAGTAGCGAAACACCCTGTATATCAAGCTGTCCAAAAATATTGACTTTTCGTCGCCAAATCGCGATATTTATAATATATATTTTTATTTAAAAACTATAATCAATAGGATTACTTTCTACGTTTTAAAAGGTTAGTTTTTTTGTAATATATTTCGGTTATACATTTTACTACATACTCCTTATTTTTTTCTCTTTCTGCCTTTCACGTTACGTACATGTTGTGGAAACACGTCTAATTTAGTAGTCAATTTTGATAAAAACAAGTGTTTGATCAGAATTTTGTCAAATTTTGTCCAGGGGTCTTGTTTAGACTCAGAGTAAACAAGCCCTTAGTATTCGTGTATATCTTGAGGCTATTTTTCGATTTAGGAAGAAATAAAAATGCAAATTATAGATCAATTTATGGGCCTTGACACAGCAGACAAAAATTGTTTAAAGAAAAAGACTTTTCGAATGGGAACTCGTGGATCTTTGACCTTTTTTAGACTGTTTGATTCCAGCCTTGTCCTTCTCGCAACTGAAAACCTTTAATTTTTATATTTTAACAGACTTTTGAACAGTTGTTTGAAAAATCTGTAAACCTTGTTATTATTTACGTTTTGTTTGATAAAAAATTGCGTAAGGCTTTGTTGTCGTCGTATTTTCGCTGTTTTTTTTCTTTTGTTTGGTTTTTAAATTGTGTTATGAAAGAAGTGTAAATAAACTTTAGTGCATTTTTTGGGTCTCTTTTGTTTCAAGTTTGCCGGGGTGACAAATCAACAGATCGCTGTGTTTGTTTACGCCTGATATCACTTCCGAGGCGGGGGTTGTCGAATCAATTGTATTTATATTTTACCCGTCAACCGGTATCTGCGGTCTAACCGAGTCTACATTTCCGTTTTATTCCGGCTGCTGCCCTTTTTTACTTTCACATCGGCAATCAGATGTTGCGGCCCAACGGCTTCATTGAGATGTCACGACGACCTAATTTACGCCAGCTCGCATAATGTGGCGCGGCGAGCCCTTGCGGACCGGAATCTTGACGGCGTCTTTCACAGTTTGGCGACGTGTACAAAGCCCATTTAAAATATTTAATAATAAATATTGCCTTGATTGTAACATTTCAAATTCTATTGATCAAAATAAGCAAAATTAAATAAAAAACTGCTGAAATAAATAAATTCTGGCTTCCGGTCTGGACACTGTCGTCTAAAGGTCGATTCACACGCGCCAGTAACGTCACAGTGCCGTGACCGGCGTTTTGTTCCACCGGCGGGTTTGAAAACATTCTTCTTGGAAACTGAACTTTGTTCACACTCACCCGGCGCGCGACCGTGGTAATGCCAACAGTGCTGCCGTGGTCACAGGACAGGGATGGTCGGATTTCTTTTTGACGATATTTTACAGTTTTCGCGGCCGTCCGATATGAACGAGGAAAAACCCATTGAGTTGGTGGGAAATAAACATGTGTTGTTTGATCAAGCAAATACATGGAATCATATTTCAAGAATATTTTCCGTTATGCAGAAATGAAAACAGAAGAGTAAAATACGTGTATATTTCAGTAGTATTTACATCATGAATAGAAAAAGGGTATAATAAATTATGAACTAAGATTAGAACTTGTTTTAAGGTTATTGGCTATTTGATAACCCCGGAAGTGATCCAGCATCTGAATTGAAATAATCAGTGAATGTTTGTCGTTGCGTTCCCTCCCTGTAAATGTAAATTTTGTAGTGTTCGACTTTCACTCTTCGAATCCACTTGGGAAGTAATGGAATTATATTTTTTATATCGTATTTCTTAATGTAAGAAGGTTA